ATCTTGGTCTTCATATATTCAATATGCTGGTTTATTGGCATACACAAAAGTTGTGGCCACATCCGCTCCTCTTCGTGCATCACTTTCGCCCATTTGCATTAATGTAAGACAGGCATAAAGCAGACAAACAAATCAGGAAATTGTTATGCGAAGAAATGTTTGGTTTCAAGAAGCCTCTTGTTTCATAATTGCTGAGCTTACTTCCATTTCGAGTGAAGACGGTTGGTGAAGATTTTCGAAGGTCGGTCCCGTCAGAAGACGACGAACTGGTGCCTCTTGACCAGATGCCGAGTGGTCCGTCGTCTTCTGACGGGGTCGAACTTCAAATCGCTTCACTCTAAATGGGAGTAAGGTGAACAGTTATGCAATTTTTAATCGAAGGTATGAAGACCAAGATGGTGTCGCCATTTGTGTGGTCACAGTCTCCTTTCGTTGTATAGAGGTTATTTGACCTTGTTTTCGTAACATGATCATATTGGTAGGAAGACTTAGAGGAACGCACCTAGTCCGGAGTCCATTGTATGCATCATCATTTCCAAAATGGTCACATTGGTAGGAAGACTTATTGGAACGCACCTAGTCCGGGGTCCATTGTCTGCATGATCATTTCCAAAGTTGAGCCGTGGACCTGGTACATTCCCAAACGTTTCGCCGGATTCGTCAGTGAGCCTTGCCATTCTTAGCACCCCACTTCAACTCGTCAAAGAGACAAGTGAAGCCGATCCTTTGACCAAACGTGTGCTAAGCAATTGTGATATCTCTCCTTCTGCCCTAGGTTATTCGCGTTTCCTGTATTATCCTATCATACCTTCACTATTACAATTTTACGGTGTTTACAGGTCAAACAACCTCTATACAATGAAAGGAGACTGCGACCACACACCATCTTGATATTCATACCTTAAACTAATCTATTCTTCAAACTTGTCCTTGACTCCTGTGAATGAAGCTAAAGCACAGCAATTTAAAAAAACATGTGATAATTTATGATAGTCTCAAATGTTTTGTATTAAATTACGATAAATATGTCTGATACCGGTTTGTCATATAAGTTAGACAAAGAATGATGAAGAATAACTAGAGAATAATGGAAATTTAGGCTCTCCTTAGATTAAGTTTTTTGAAAAAATAAAATAATATTGGTTATCTCTACCAAAAATACACTTAGAATATGAATGAAATTGAAGAGAGAGACTGTGATAAGACTAGGAAAGAGGACTGCATAATGAAGGGTGTGGGTGGGTGAGAACGACAATTGGAGAGTGAAAGTGTCATGTCGCTCAAAGGAGCACACTACACTATATCTAAATAAACACGGTAAATATTGTGATAGCGAAGGCATGATAGGATGATACAGGAAACGCGAATAGCCTAGGGCAGAATGGGAGATACCACAACTGTTTAGCACACGTTTGGTTTAAGGATCGGCTTTACTTGTCTCTTTAACGAGTTGTTGTGTGGCGCTAATAATGGCGAGACTCACTGACGATGCCGGCACAAATGAGTCAGACGTCATACCTGCATGAACCTGCATGAGCCCTTAGTTAATTCGAATGTCTGCTTCTGGTTGGTTAGTTATACGCCCATCTGATAGGTCCAAAATTAAACCTGGTGTGGTGGCGAGATTTGATTGGTCGGCGCGAACAAGGAGTACGGTCATCCATGAGCACGTGAGTTAACAAAAGTCATCGAAGGTATGAAGGCCAAGATGGTGTCGCCGTTTGTTTGGTCGCAGTCTACTTTCGTTGTTTGATCTTGTTTTCGCAACTCGGTCATTTTGGTAGAAAGACTTAGAGGAACGCACCTAATCCGGAGTCCATTGTATGCACATCATTAATATGAAGTGTATTCACCCTATTTCGTGTAAGGTGATGAAGGACTGGTAGTAGAATTGTCCCATAATGATGTGAGTTGAGCTGAGGTTTCCATTGAATTTCATAAAGCCTTGCTTTCCCAAAAGTTGTTTTCGTCCCGGCTGGGGTGGACTGCAGTTTCGACCTCGCATCGGTCTTATCAACACCCTCAGCGGGAGTCGAACCGCGACAGTGCAGTACGGTAGCTTGACACGCTAACCACTCGGTTACACTGCCACCAGTACTCTTGAGTCACAGGGCCTAAGTGAATTTCAAACCGGTTTTTAACCACTTGGCTACACTGCCACGAGTATCCTAGAATCAAAGGGAATTAGTGAATTTCAAGGAAGATTAGGTCTCTTTGCTATATCATATTCTTTGGTGGGAGTGCCGATGAAGCAAACGTATATTTACTATAACAATCGACTACGTTACTTATTTTCGTATTAGAGTAGGGCCGTGGACGTGATACATTACCATACGTTTCGCCTGCATCGTCAGTTAGTATCGCCATTCTTAGCACCATACCACAACTCGTTAAAGAGACAAGTGAAGCCGATCCTTTGACCAAACGTGTGCTAAACAGTTGTGGTATCTCC